GGACACATCAACAGGTAGACCGCGGGTCAGGAGACGCTTCTGACGGGCACAAAACAGCACAAGTTCACCACAAACACATCGAACATCTGCATCTCTGATTGGCCGGTCGCTACAGGTGAAAGACCTGCTGCAGGTAAATAAACTCAAGGTGCTTCTCAACACCAGGAGGCTGCATCCTCGGTGTTCTCCAACCTCCCACAATGCTCTCCTCGTGGCTAAAATGGGTCTGATGAATTGATGACATGTTCCTTCAGCGAAGAGCAGAAACAAGAACGTGAATAAACCCAGCAGGTCTCAGACCTGGGAAGGATCCACCTTTAGTTTACAGGAAGCTCATTTAGGAGATCCAGAAGTTGTCAGATGTCTTCTCGGGTTTAGAATCAGCTGGTTCTGGTTGTTCGCGTGGTCCTGCAATGAACCAGTGGCTTGTTGAGTCTGGAGATCTCCGCTTCTGGGTCTGATGGACGGTTGAACGGTCAGAACCAGCCTGAGTCTAAGGCTACGTTCACACAGCAGATTTTATTGCTCAATTCCAAACGTTTGCCAACATCAGATCCCATCGCAGCTCAGATCTGAGGTCCATCAGACTCCACGTGTGATCTCACTGCTTCAGCTTGGATTTGTGAAGAGAGAGCCGAGTGAAACGTGACGTCTGATCCGGGTCAGATCTGAAAGGATCGGCTAGAGGCTGTGGGGGCAACACAACCACACAGAGGAAACATCTAGGAGCCCAACAGAAACAGTTCGGAATCAGGCAGCGCCGGAAAATCAAAACCGTGCATTTTCCCCTCAGATTTATGAGTCAAACTGGGTTAATTCAACGATGCTGGACCAGTTAAACCATTAATGAATCAGCCGAGACCAGATCAAGAGTCCAGTAGGGGACATGAATCCAGAACGTAATGGAGGTGCAGCATTCAGCTGATGAGAGAAAAGAGACATCTTCACTTCCACACCATCTCTGGATGATGAGAGGACTGGTTTCTGTGGGACGCAGAACTGGTAGGAAGTCCCACCTGCCCCCTTCAGACTGCAGAGCCACACTTTAAGTATTGCAGTGAATATCATCATCGTTACTAAGATCCACAGTTAAACACAAACACACAAACACACACTCGCTTCACGTTAACCATCAATGGAGGACTGGGGGCTCTCTCCGTGGGCAGGGCTACCTTTACTGGGGCGACTGGGGAGAAATGACAAAACAAACACCAAGAAAGAGAAAACAGGTGGAGATCAAAAGCAGGAAATTTTTGTTTTACATCTGTTAAAACCAGTTAAGATCCCCCTAAAAGCAGCCAGGAGCCAGCAAACCAGTTAGGAGCCCCCCAAACCAGCCCAGGCCAACATGGCAGAAACGTCCCAGTTGGATCTGGCACCCCCCCCCCCTGGCATGGCTGGCACTGCTGAGATGATGGCCCGGTTATGGTTGGGTTTATGGGACAGCTGGTCATGTGTGGGCCACCTCTGGCAAAATACATCTGCACCACTGATCTCCGTGGTGTCTGGGCTAAGTGCACTGTAAAAAAAAGTTGATCCAACTTAAAAAAATTGCTTCAGTTGGTAACAAGCAATTTAATTAAGTTCATCCAACTTAAATTATTAGAGCAATTTTAATCATTTGGGTTAGATAAACTTAATTAAATTGCTTGTTACCAACTGAAGCAATTCAAACACATGAAGACCGTTTGGAGCTGAACTACAAAACATAAAAGAACTGAAACCTGAAGGAACTCTTTGAAGCAGCTCCTGGACCAATACCGAACCATGTCCTTCATCAGAGCTCCAGAACATTCTGCTGAACCATCTGCATCGTGGTTGCACTGAAACCAGTGGATCCTATGTGTGTATGTGCGTGCGTGTGTGTGTGTGTGTGGTAACTGGAACCAGTGCAGATAATTTAAAACCAGTCTGGCCCAGTTCATCACATCCAGCTGGAACCACATGGAGAATCTGCATCCAGTTCGGATTGATTTTGTGCTTCTTCAGGTGTGTATCGTTGTGTGATGGTGGTGACTGGGGCGGGGTCATGGGTGGGGTCCGAGGGAGGGGAACAAAAACACCAGACAGACAGCTCCAGGTGGATGGCGCGCAGTCACATGAGGACTTGTGATGCAGAGGAAGTGGGCGGGGTCACGCAGGGAGACCTGCTGTGGCACTGAAGCAGGTAGACACACACAGGTGGCGTGAGACAGTTACATCACATGGACAGCTGACGTACCATTGGTGAAATCCTCATTGGTCACTGATAGAGATTCTGAAAGAATAACCATATATGGTCAACATGAGAGGGGGAGGGGGGGTTCAGGTGGGTCTTCACAGAAATAACTCACACCTTCCTGTTTACCGTCTAGGGTACTGGTAGAACACGATCACACAAACAGCAAGACAGATGGGCAGACAGGAGGACCAGAAGAAAGAGGTGGAGAGAGGGAGACAGGTGGGGAAAGGAGGAAGACAAAAGGACAAGAAGCTAGGTGGACACGGTGATGGGGAGATGCAAGACAGGAGGACAGAGAACCATCCAGACGGACATCTGAGTAGTGAGGTACATGAAAGATGAAGGGATGATGGAGGAATGACGATGAAGGGATGTTGGGGGGGCTGGTGGAGAACGAGGGGTACCATGAGCCCACTCTTCTGTGTCCGTAGGTTTGTGGATCACTGGTTGTCGTTCTACCACACCAACAAAGAAGAGTTAACTTCCTGTTTCAACTGTTTTCAGATCAGCTCAGCTCCGTTTCCACGCCAGCAGCCTCCAGAGCAGCTGAACCTGAACCTGCTGCCGCTGTTACCTGCAGGAAGTTTTATTGTGGAAAACCATTTTCAGAATAAGGGTCGGCGTGCATGTGTGTGTCGTAGACCAGTAGACATGCCAATCTGAACGCCCTCATGCTACATTCAGGCTTCACTGTCGTGTGGGAAATGTCAGTTTTCAGACGTTTTTGTGTCAGACTGAGGTTCATTTTTTGCCTCATCGCCTTCCGAACCTCTGCTTACGTTTACACATGAGCTACAGAAAAACCCTTTTTACGTTTAAAAGGGTGGAGGGATGCACAACAACAGATTTTAATCCAATCAAACTGGAAATGACGTCTGAACTCAGGTGCTTAACTTTGATCTTGTGGGTTGTAGGAAACGTTGGAGGTTCTGGATCTGAACTGGGGGAACCCGCAGCTGTTTGGGGGATTGCTCTGGATGAAAATGTGAACTGAGTGAAAACGGAGACTGCTGCCGGACCTCTCGACACTAACTGTGCTTTTTGCCGCATGGTTTGGTCAGAACCAGAAATAAGCCTCAAAGAAGAAAACCTGCAGAACTGGAACACAGAGACGCAGAACAAGACTGGTACTCAGCCAGTCTGCTGCTGATCACCAGACCTCCAACACCAACCTGGGGACTCCAGGTGGGGGCCCTCTGTTTGGGCGGGATGGAACAGAAGGTGACGGTCCTGGATCAGGTGACACTGCGGGACGAGACGGAGGGCCGGGGGCAGCGCGGCCGCCAGGTCGTGGAGGACCCGGAGGAGCTCGGCGTTGTGGGGTTGGGCTGGACATTGGTGACCTGAGGAGACCAGCACAGTCTCAGAGACAACACACACAGAACTGCCAGCTGATCTAGAACCAGCTTACCTGCGCCCAGACGGCATTCCAGTCACCTGTAGCCAGGAGTCGTCTACAGGTGGAGGAGCTTTCGTGGTAACAGTGGAGGTACTGATGTCACCGATGATGTTCAGCCCTTCCCGCAGGGCGTGGTACATCCGAAGCATCTCATCCCGGTGCTGGGCCTGGCCCACAGAGAGAGACCAGATCAGAGACAAAGATGGATACAGAATCACCTGTTTATGAAGCAACAAACAGCTGGAGGTCCAGTTCCACTCCAACAACCCGTCTCACCTGCGGTTCCAAGTTCTCACCTGTTCCTGGGATTCCTCCATCAAGGAGTTTTGGTCTCCGCAGGAGTACAGTTGAGCCAGCAGGTCAGAGTGGATGAACTCTTTAGCCTGAGAAGCAGACAGGTGGTTACGTGACTATGGCAACATTTCCTGTGTGCACCTGAGCAGGTGTGTGCCGTACATTATTGACCATAAGGTGCATGATGGTTTTGGGGATTAGGTCTCTGACAGTTCGGTGGATGATGGCCAGGTAGGAGTCCACCAGGTTCCGGACGATCTCCACTTGGCGCTCCAGCTGAGGATCCAGACTGTGGATGTGGCCGTCAGTGTTGGTCTCCTCTGCCTCCACCTGGAAACGTCATACCACAAACCGACAGAACCACTCAGAACCCAACATGACCAGACGAATTCCAGCATTTCAATCTTCATCAGCTAATCCCTTACTCACCTTCTCTTTGTCCTTTCGGGTGTAGACACAAACAGAGACAGAATTAATTAGGGCTGCGACTCAGGAAAGACCAATGAAAAATAGAGCTAAATGAAAATACCACGCTGCGTTCAGGATACACCCCTGCCCGTAGGAAAGAAGCCTTCCAGCTGTCCACCTCCTCCTGAGACTCGCTGGCCAGCTCCAGCTGCCGATAGTCCTTATACACGTTCCTGCAGAACAGAGGGGAACCGAGTACACACCCAGGTGGAGCACCTTCAACCTTTTAACCACAAACTGAAACACCATTAAGAGTAAGTGAGGGCCTGGTTTTGATTAGTGACCTGTGCTCAGTGTTGAAGAGAGCAAAAACATGTTTGCTGGACATGAAGCTCTTCTCGATGTCCTTCAGCTTCAGGTTATCTACAGGTAGCATGTACTTCTTCTCCTTCTCCTGCAGAGGGGCACAACCACAAGCAATGTCTCACAGAAAGCCAACGCTTCGGTGCGTGTTTGTGTATTTGTGAGCATCTGTGATGGACTGGCAGACTAAACTGATGCCTGCAGTTGGTTCCTGTTGGGAAATTCACATTCCACCATAGGTACAGCAGCAGCAGCAGCGGCAGCAAGTGCGAGAGACGTAACAATCCCACCTGGATGGGTTTGTGGCCTGTGTGTGTCCTCGCGGTTCAAAGCATAAAATATAAAATGCATGTACTTGATGGATCCAGATGAAAAACACATTATCTTGCCGGTGGGACAAAAAAGCAAATAACCGGGTTAAATGAACATGGCGATGCACTGGGAAGGTTAAAGTTTCCCTCAGCACCAAATGGGTGTGTGTGTGTGTGTGTGTTTTACCTCATCATCTTTGTACCAGGACAGAGCCTCGGCAGTCAACACGAACCAATACTCTTTAGCTCCGCCCTTCATTATGCTGATGTTGTTGATGGTGAGCCAGCCTTTGCGAATCACCTGCATGATGGCATCAGTGGAAAACCAAGAACAGCTATGATGTCATCTTTTCTAACACAATGAAACAAAGTAAATCATGTGATCAATAACAGAGCAAACAGCGGAGATTTCCACAGTCAGTTGTGTCACAGAGGCCTTTCGCGTCCAAGTCAATCCACCAAGTTTATTATCGGCAGAAATCTAACATTATTGCACAATAACTAAATAAAGTTAACCCTCCCACTGTCCTAACGGGTGTGACCCCACCAGGAAAGTTCACCATTGAGCAGGATTGATGGTTCATCTCTTGAGGTCCACGTGACGGGGGTGAGGAGTGAGCACCACCTCACCCCCGTCACGTGGACCTCAAGGGATGAACCATCAATCCTGCTCAATGGTCAACTTTCCTAGTGGGGTCCTACCCGTTAGGACAGTGGGAGGGCTAAACGGAACCTTCTGGGATTATTGCTTCTCTGTGGATTATTTGTGGTTTCAGCTCTTTGAACTAATTAGAAACAAGCCGAAGAACCAAAAGAGTCCGAAGCAGTGGTGGTCCAAATCGCACTCTGAGCAGAAAGAGCAGTTTTATGTGAAGTCACGTGATCAGTGACGTAATACACCCGCTACTGGTCAATCTGGGATTTACTAGACTTGTTGCCATCGTCTCCGTGCAGAACCTTCTGTGGTTCAACAGAAACATGCGGCGTAACAAGCAGAAACAACTCACAACATTTTATGATTTGCCCAGTTTTTTGTGGACACGGAGGTTTAGTGTATTCATAAATCTTAATGAGAGGCAGATTTAAACGGCTAGTGGACACGAGTGCCGGTGTGATCAGAGCAGTTAGGAACATACCAAGCCCCTTTATTCAAGTCAAAAGGGATATTAAAGAGCAAGTCACCTTCTACCAAAGTCTCACTCCACCAAATGCTGTTGCCCGGCAGACCGAGAGGGCGGAGCCGCTAACAAACTCACAGGCTCACAATGGCATTGTGACATCATAAGGTACCATCTGATGTCACAGGGTACTTCTTAGCCAATAGTGATGGCTGATTCAAATTCAAATGTAGTGAAGAGTTTTTAACTGAAGAGGGTGCAAAATTTTAGTTTTCATGAATACAGTTCATCAGCTGATTTGGGGGTGACTTGCTCTTTAAGTAGCTTTTCTGTATGATTTGACTGATTTTAAGTCGGCCACAGTTTATCTATTTGATGACAGAGAGCTGACATTTTTTTTTATTGTGGATGAATTAGTAACGTGCCGCACGAGGCGGAGGGGTGAAATAATCCTCAGTTTAGCTGTGAAACCTCCTAAAGGAGAGGGACATAAGCCGTCCGGTGAAATCTTACACCGGCTTTCCACGGGACGCGTAAGCAACGCGTAGCATAACAGACGCGTTTTACCCACGAGCTGCCTTCCCACCGGGAGGGTTTCAGACCTGAAATGGCAGCAGGCTATCCAGCTGGCCACGCAGTGACTGGAGAACTGCCAGACCACGCATGATTCTGGAAGTTCACGCCCTAAAAAGGAAGGATCCACTGTTTTCCCCCGCCTTGCCTGGTGGCGGTTGGAGGGAACGAGTGGTGCCGTGAGCGTTTGGAAGTCCCAAGTGTCAGTTATGATAAGTGACCCACACTCGTATACCGCCTCTCAGAGTCAGAGGACTCCAAAGCGCTTTACACAACAGTGTATCGTTCATAGGGTCACACACACATTCACACGCTGTTGGTGATGAGCTGCGATGTAGCCACAGCTGCCCTGGGGCGCACTGACAGCGGCAAGGCTTCCAAACACAGGCACCACCAGTCCCTCCGACCACCACCAGCAGGCAAGGTGGGTTTAGTGTCATGCCCAAGGACACAACAGCAGAATTCCCTGTCGAAGGCCGGGATCGATCCCACAGCCCTCTGATTACTGGATGACCTGCTCTACCTCCTGAGCCCCTGCTGTCCCCCTCAGGGCTCATGTGGCCACGTTGTGGCTCCTCACCACCAGCGTGTGAGTGTGTGCATGGTTGGGTGAACGGCTGTTTTGCTGTAAAGCACCTTGAGTGGGTCTAAAAACCTTAAAGGCGCTATATGAAGACAGAACTTTTACCATTGTTGACCTTCGTCCAATGTCGCGCAGGCAAGTAAACCAAGTCAGCGCAACATCCAGAACCAGAGCATCCATCCCCAGAACCCTGCCACGGCAGAGTTCTTTGACTCAGCAGCCGCGGCTCT